TATATATATATACACAGTATATATATATTATATTATATTATATTATATATATATATATATGAGATGATTTCAGTTTACTTTTTATTTATTACAGTTCTAGTTATCTATAATAGCCTTGCCACTAGAATATAGAAATGCATTTTACTGTAACTTCTGATCAAATAGTTCTGTTCTCCCTCAGGATTTTTGTCTTGTTTTCCAGTGCAGATATTCTTAAAATCAAGATGCATTTATGTGAGAATCAAAATAACAAACAAAATTCTTGTTTATCTGAGAAATGTATCAAAATGAAGAGAATTTATGATTGAAACAAGAACAAATATCTGCCAGTGGACTTGTTATTAAAGCATAAACTCATAATATGCATAAAGCATAAACTTTGCACATAATATACCTGTACATACAAAACTGTCTATTGTAATATACCTGCACATACAATTGTCAATTTATATATTGTTATTCCTTATTTACTTGTTCTATTTTTTTTATTATTTTATTATTCTTTTATTATCTGTGTGTGTTTGTTCTGTCACTGTCATTCTGTTACACTGTGGAAGCTTCTGTCACGAAAACAAATTCCTCGTATGTGTAAACATACCTGGCAATAAAGCTCATTCTGACTCTGATTCTGATAACTTAATTTTGCTAAACATCTCAGAAAACACTTAATATTTTCATTCTGCATCTCAAGCAAATAAATTTGCATAATTGCATAATTCATTTTAAATAAGAATGATATAAGAAATGAAAGAATATAAATTTTTATAGTAAAAACAAACAAGCAAACCCAGCCCAGATGAGAAAAAGTAACACAAAAGTAACATAACGCATTACTTTCCTTAAAAAGTAACTAAGTAACCCAATTAGTTACTTTTTCAGGGAGTAACACAATATTGTAATACATTGTAACTTTCCCCAACACTGCAAATGGCCTAACATTCATTCTATTTACATCTACACTGCATGAAAATAAGTGGAAAAAATGTAAATCAAGATGCATTTATGTGAGAATCAAAATAACAAACAAAATTCTTGTTTATCTGAGAAATGTATCAAAATGAAGAGAATTTATGATTGAAACAAGAACAAATATCTGCCAGTGGACTTGTTATTAAAGCATAAACTCATAATATGCATAAAGCATAAACTTTGCACATAATATACCTGTACATACAAAACTGTCTATTGTAATATACCTGCACATACAATTGTCAATTTATATATTGTTATTCCTTATTTACTTGTTCTATTTTTATTTTTTTTTAATTCTTCTTTTATTATCTGTTTTTTTGTTCTGTCGCTGTCATTCTGTTACACTGTGGAAGCTTCTGTCACGAAAACAAATTCCTCGTATGTGTAAACATACCTGGCAATAAAGCTCATTCTGACTCTGATTCTGATAACTTAATTTTGCTAAACATCTCAGAAAACACTTAATATTTTCATTCTGCATCTCAAGCAAATAAATTTGCATAATTGCATAATTCATTTTAAATAAGAATGATATAAGAAATGAAAGAATATAAATTTTTATAGTAAAAACAAACAAGCAAACCCAGCCCAGATGAGAAAAAGTAACACAAAAGTAACATAACGCATTACTTTCCTTAAAAAGTAACTAAGTAACCCAATTAGTTACTTTTTCAGGGAGTAACACAATATTGTAATACATTGTAACTTTCCCCAACACTGCAAATGGCCTAACATTCATTCTATTTACATCTACACTGCATGAAAATAAGTGGAAAAAATGTGATGCTACATCTGTGAGTTGTGTTAACATTTCAAGAGAACTTCTACAGAAACACCCACCATAAATGAGACAGCACCCACCGTGAGTAATACAGAAACTCCCAGCTCATTATCTCACGCTGTTTCAGGCTGTGTAAGTTAACCACGATGAAATATGAGCATTTGGAAGAATGTCATGTGGTTTCTTCTAAACAGTTCATTACAAAGGCAGAAAGGTGACATGGAAGGCAGCTGATGTGGATTTGGATCAACATTACCTCTGTGAGCGTCAAACACCAGCAGCGTCACAAACACGAGCCTCCAGCAGAGCGTCCTGCAGACCTGCATCGAGGGAGACAGGAACCTCCGTCTACAGCGGATCTCACACACTTCTCATCTTTGCAGCTTTTTCTCTCGCTTTAAAATGCTGTATGGTTTTATAGAGCAGCAGTGCAAAACACTTCTGCTTTCTTTTTTATTGTTAGCCAAATAAAACTATTAAGCAATTTTTGGAAAGCCACACATCACTTATTTTACTCATTACGAAACCACAAGTTTCCAATGACCCCTGCTCACACACACACACACACACACACACACACACACACACACACACACACACACACAGAGTTTCCATGAAACTCATTACTGGTCAACAGGGTGTGTGCTATTTTGGTATCATTGATATACCATTATTGTTTTTGTTTATATTTTGAATAATATTTTTTATTTTCACTTTTTGGGTTCATTTGAAAGTTGTAGTGATTGTGTTTGTTGTGTTTATTTTATTATTTGGCTTTTAAATATGTCTGTATAGTTTTCATAAAGTTCATGTTGTTTATTTTATTTATTTATTTCATTAGTTTATTTTAACTTAAACTATATGTTGTTTTGGAAACTAGCTGATTCTTTTTTAAATAAAATGTATTTTTTTGTTTGTTTATTTCTTTACTTACTTGTTTATTTCTTTATTTTACTTTATTTATTTTTGTGCTTTCAGTTTTAGTTACCAATCATTACCCTGATGTGTTTTGAAGTTTTGGGGACCAAATGTGGTCACAAGGAGACTAAAACTAAAAAACAGAAAAACGCAAGGTTTTGGGATCCAAAACATACTAAATATTATTAGCTCAGAATTAAACCCACAGAAGTCGATAGAAATTCCCATTATTGATCAGACACTCACACAAACCCTCTGTATGTTATTTTTTTTGGGAGAGTCACTGTGCGGTTGTGTAATGGAACATTTTAGGGACTCTGCATTTGAACTGGCTGAAGCTGAAAAGAAGACAAGCTGGTTTGAAGCTGCAGTCTCGAGGATCAAAACAAGCAGAAGAAAACCCACCGAACATTTACATCAACCGTGTCCTAACCCTAACCCTAACCCTCAGTGAAATCATGAAGCAGCACTGAATCCGACACAGCACTCACACACACAGACAGACATGAACTCACTCAAACAAACAGCACATACTACACTATCATAACACATCACTATCTGACTGCAACAAGGCATATGGCACGTGAAGGATGTCTTACCATGTTGGAGGAGTGTTGGAGGAGTGAGCTGTCGGGTCGCTGGTAATCATCTGAAGAAGCCTCCAGGAAACAGTGAGGGGACACACTTACACACAGCTCCTCCTTCACCCCAGCTCCACCCATGATTCCTGCAGACATCCACCTACAGGAGGCATATTCCTCAAACCCCTCTGCTGCACCTGCGGCGAGCAACAGCAAGAACAGACACGAAGCTGAAGCTATAGGCTCTGCTCTGCGGTGGCTTTGCATTGATCTGAGCGAGTGTCGAGGCTCGGACGGATTGCGTGCATGACCAGCATCATGTGGGAAACTGTGAAATTAAAATATTCATAATACAATATAGATATATATATATTCATACCGTTTTTGTAATCTGCATTTAATTGTATTTTCAAAAATAACATTAAAAAGAAAAATATGTTTTTAATTGTAATCCCAAACAGCATGTTGATTATTGTCGCAGTAACTCGTAATCAGCTGTTAATGTTCAGTGGATGAAGTCAGGTGTAGTTCATCACAAGCTATCAACATGTTTGAAAACCTCACTTTTCTCAACACAGTTCAGATGGAAATGTACATATTATTTTTTAAGCTGACCAACATAACGTTGCAAAATTATGAAATGATTCTAATTAATAATGCATGATGGATATAAGTTATATACAAATTATTGTTAAAAATTCTGTATGGTTATTATTTTAATAGGCCTATATTATATTTCTTTATATCATCAACTTTCATTATATATAATTTATTGTAAGATACATTTGATTTAAATTTAAAAATAACATTAAAATGGTAGGCTATATATAAACTAAAAAAGTTTTTATTTTAATCTGTTTTTGGAGTTTAAAAAAAAGTTAAGTTGTGCTCAGTGTATGCATTTCATTGCCTAGAAATACAAATCAAGTGTCGTGCTGTTCTTTTCAATAAGTCTCAATCAGATGCTGTCAAGGCGATACTTAGTGGATGACGTCACTTCACACGGGCGATAGTTAGTGCATGACGTCACTTCCCACGGGCGATAGTTAGTGAATGACGCCACGTCACACGGGTGATAGTTCGTGCATGACGTCACTTCCCACGGGCGATAGTTAGTGAATGACGCCACGTCACACGGGTGATAGTTCGTGCATGACGTCACTTCCCACGGGCGATAGTTAGTGAATGACGCCACGTCACACGGGTGATAGTTCGTGCATGACGTCACTTCCCACGGGCGATAGTTAGTGAATGACGCCACGTCACACGGGTGATAGTTCGTGCATGACGTCACTTCCCACGGGCGATAGTTAGTGAATGACGCCACGTCACACGGGTGATAGTTCGTGCATGACGTCACTTCCCACGGGCGATAGTTAGTGAATGACGCCACGTCACACGGGTGATAGTTCGTGCATGACGTCACTTCCCACGGGCGATAGTTAGTGAATGACGCCACGTCACACGGGTGATAGTTCGTGCATGACGTCACTTCCCACGGGCGATAGTTAGTGAATGACGCCACGTCACACGGGTGATAGTTCGTGCATGACGTCACTTCCCACGGGCGATAGTTAGTGAATGACGCCACGTCACACGGGTGATAGTTCGTGCATGACGTCACTTCCCACGGGCGATAGTTAGTGAATGACGCCACGTCACACGGGTGATAGTTCGTGCATGACGTCACTTCCCACGGGCGATAGTTAGTGAATGACGCCACGTCACACGGGTGATAGTTCGTGCATGACGTCACTTCCCACGGGCGATAGTTAGTGAATGACGCCACGTCACACGGGTGATAGTTCGTGCATGACGTCACTTCCCACGGGCGATAGTTAGTGAATGACGCCACGTCACACGGGTGATAGTTCGTGCATGACGTCACTTCCCACGGGCGATAGTTAGTGAATGACGCCACGTCACACGGGTGATAGTTCGTGCATGACGTCACTTCCCACGGGCGATAGTTAGTGAATGACGCCACGTCACACGGGTGATAGTTCGTGCATGACGTCACTTCCCACGGGCGATAGTTAGTGAATGACGCCACGTCACACGGGTGATAGTTCGTGCATGACGTCACTTCCCACGGGCGATAGTTAGTGAATGACGCCACGTCACACGGGTGATAGTTCGTGCATGACGTCACTTCCCACGGGCGATAGTTAGTGAATGACGCCACGTCACACGGGTGATAGTTCGTGCATGACGTCACTTCCCACGGGCGATAGTTAGTGAATGACGCCACGTCACACGGGTGATAGTTCGTGCATGACGTCACTTCCCACGGGCGATAGTTAGTGAATGACGCCACGTCACACGGGTGATAGTTCGTGCATGACGTCACTTCCCACGGGCGATAGTTAGTGAATGACGCCACGTCACACGGGTGATAGTTCGTGCATGACGTCACTTCCCACGGGCGATAGTTAGTGAATGACGCCACGTCACACGGGTGATAGTTCGTGCATGACGTCACTTCCCACGGGCGATAGTTAGTGAATGACGCCACGTCACACGGGTGATAGTTCGTGCATGACGTCACTTCCCACGGGCGATAGTTAGTGAATGACGCCACGTCACACGGGTGATAGTTCGTGCATGACGTCACTTCCCACGGGCGATAGTTAGTGAATGACGCCACGTCACACGGGTGATAGTTCGTGCATGACGTCACTTCCCACGGGCGATAGTTAGTGAATGACGCCACGTCACACGGGTGATAGTTCGTGCATGACGTCACTTCCCACGGGCGATAGTTAGTGAATGACGCCACGTCACACGGGTGATAGTTCGTGCATGACGTCACTTCCCACGGGCGATAGTTAGTGAATGACGCCACGTCACACGGGTGATAGTTCGTGCATGACGTCACTTCCCACGGGCGATAGTTAGTGAATGACGCCACGTCACACGGGTGATAGTTCGTGCATGACGTCACTTCCCACGGGCGATAGTTAGTGAATGACGCCACGTCACACGGGTGATAGTTCGTGCATGACGTCACTTCCCACGGGCGATAGTTAGTGAATGACGCCACGTCACACGGGTGATAGTTCGTGCATGACGTCACTTCCCACGGGCGATAGTTAGTGAATGACGCCACGTCACACGGGTGATAGTTCGTGCATGACGTCACTTCCCACGGGCGATAGTTAGTGAATGACGCCACGTCACACGGGTGATAGTTCGTGCATGACGTCACTTCCCACGGGCGATAGTTAGTGAATGACGCCACGTCACACGGGTGATAGTTCGTGCATGACGTCACTTCCCACGGGCGATAGTTAGTGAATGACGCCACGTCACACGGGTGATAGTTCGTGCATGACGTCACTTCCCACGGGCGATAGTTAGTGAATGACGCCACGTCACACGGGTGATAGTTCGTGCATGACGTCACTTCCCACGGGCGATAGTTAGTGAATGACGCCACGTCACACGGGTGATAGTTCGTGCATGACGTCACTTCCCACGGGCGATAGTTAGTGAATGACGCCACGTCACACGGGTGATAGTTCGTGCATGACGTCACTTCCCACGGGCGATAGTTAGTGAATGACGCCACGTCACACGGGTGATAGTTCGTGCATGACGTCACTTCCCACGGGCGATAGTTAGTGAATGACGCCACGTCACACGGGTGATAGTTCGTGCATGACGTCACTTCCCACGGGCGATAGTTAGTGAATGACGCCACGTCACACGGGTGATAGTTCGTGCATGACGTCACTTCCCACGGGCGATAGTTAGTGAATGACGCCACGTCACACGGGTGATAGTTCG